GATTTTTAAAGAATGTGTAATTCAAAGATAAGGTCTGATGAATCAAAAAGCTTTGTAAGGCACTCATGGTTCCTGTAACCAGTTTTCTTGCTGTTATCAACAAAACATTTGCAGAAGTAGTCAACAGAGGAAGTGCAGTCACTTCTGTGTTTAAGCATAGCCTTTTTTCTGTCTTGGCGTGATGCGGCTTTCAGTCAAACGGGCAGTTGTACTCCTGCTAATGCTCTTCGGAGCTTGTACGCTTACTAGGACTCTATATGAGGTGCTAACATGCCCTGGAGAGGTTCCCAGAACTCATATGGTGTCTATACGGGCTCGAAACTGGAACCAGACACAGTACCGGTATAACCAGAACACACCGATGGTGTTTGTGGGTGGGGTTCCACGATCAGGGACCACCTTGATGCGTGCCATGCTTGACGCCCACCCTGATATCCGCTGCGGGGAGGAGACGCGGGTGATCCCCAGGATACTGTCTCTGCGGCAGGGCTGGGGGAGGCAGACGGAGGAGCGCTGGGCGCTGGAGGACGAGGGAGTCAGTCAAGAGATGCTGGACGCAGCGACCAGAGCGTTCCTGCTGGAGGTCATCGCACGGCATGGGGATCCTGCACCACTGCTGTGCAATAAAGACCCCTTTACACTGAAGAGTGCTGTTTATCTGTCACACATTTTCCCCAAGTAAGATATCTCCTTTTTAGAGGTGCATTCAGGGATTTAATTTATTTTATTTTTTTATTTGTTTTGTAAAAGGTTTTACACAAAGACATTTGTAGTCCTTCTGAAAAATATATTAACACTTATTTATTTTACATGGACTGAGTTCCATCATGAGGGCCAACGTGTTTTCATAGAAAAATGTAAAAATCTAGTTGCTGATACAGTCTAGAAGTGTTGTTTTTATTTTATTTGAAAGTTTTACACAAAGACATTTGTAGTACTTCTGAATAATATGAATACGCTTATTTATTTTACATGGAGTGAGTGCCATCATAGTGGCCAATATGTTTTCTTCAGAAAATAAACAAATCTAGTTACTGATATAATCTAAAAGTAATGTTTTTTATTGTTATTATTTTAGTTATATTTTTATTTGTTTTTTTTATTATTATTTAGAAAATATAAATGTTAGCACAATAATAATGCTTGATAAATACACACACACACACACACGTGTATATATATATATATCATTTTTTATGGTAAGCAACTGTTTTCTCATTAATAAATGTTTCTTAAGCAGCAAATCAGCATATTAGAATGATTTCTGAAAAATCATGTGACACTGAAGACTGGCGTAATGATGCTGAAAATTCAGCTTTGCATCACAGGAATAAACTAAATGTTAAAATAAATTAAAATACAAAATGGGTATTTTAAATTGTAATAATATTTACAGTTCTTAATGTATTTTTGATCATTTCCATAAAGATTTTCACATAGATTTAATAGTGCATTGCTCTTCAACTGGAAAAATGTCTAAAATAAAGGCAATGTTTTGTGCTGCATAAAGCAATGCCAGCAAAATCCTTTTCATTTCTTGCCTTTTTCATGACATTTCAGTCTTTCTGTCTCACTCCTCATGCCATCGTCTGTCCTTTCAGCTCTAAATTCCTGCTAATGCTCAGAGACGGCCGGGCGTCTGTGCACTCTATGATCTCCAGACGAGTGACTATCGCTGGCTTCAACCTGTCCAGCTACAGGGACTGTCTGACTAAATGGAGCAATGCAATCGAAGTCATGCTCTCCCAGTGTATGGCAGTAGGCCGGAGTCGCTGTATGACCATCCGCTATGAGGATCTGGTGCTGCAGCCGCGAGCCACCATGCGGCGTGTGCTGCGCTTTCTGAAATCACCGTGGCACGAAGGGGTGCTTCACCATGAGGAGGCCATCGGGCAGCCTGGAGGAGTATCACTGTCTCGGTAGGGCGACATTACATTTAAAGGGATAGTTCACCCAAAAAGGAAATTTTTGTCATCATTTACACACCCTCTACTTGTTCTAAAGCTGTATGGGTTTCTTTCTTCTGTTTAACATATTTTGATATTTTGAAGAATCTTGGTAGCCAAACAGTTGATGGTACCCATTGACTTCGTTAGTATTTTCTTCCATACTATGGAAGTCAATGGCTACCATCAACTGTTTGGTTCTTCAAAATATCTTCTTTTGTGTTCAAAGCTGAAAGAAATCCATACAGTTTTGGGTGAATAAATGATGACAGTATTTTCATGTTTGGGTGAACGATCCCTTTAATGTCTTGGGTGCCGGCCCTCCACTGTTCCCCTGACTATCCTCGCTTTTCACTTTGTTTTTAAGAAGTGAACGCTCCACGGATCAGGTGATCAAACCAGTTAACCTGGAAGCCCTCACACGTTGGGTAGGCCACATCCCAGCAGACGTCCAGCAGGACATGGAGAACATCGCGCCAATGCTGCGCAAGCTGGGCTACAACCCCAAAGCCAATCCACCAGACTATGGTCAACCAGATCCGGAAGTGATCAACAATACTGAAAGGGTATATTTGAACACAGAATATGACATACAAACTGCATTTCAATTCATTCAGTGCAGCTCAAGGATCCGAGTTGCTAGTTATTCAGTCATAATTTCCAGTTTTCCATGTCTTTCCTAGGTACTGAGAGGAGATTTTAAAACTCCCATGAGACTGAAAAGATTGGTACAAGTGAGTGCAAGCTTTAACGTTTTTAAAGCCTAGTGTATCATATTTGATATGGATATTTCTAAGGCCTCTATTTAAGTTTATACTTGTTTAGCGAGTAAAAGGTCTTTTCTAAAACTTTCCCCTTCAGGTTGTGGTACACAAGTGTTTTAGCTGTGAAATAGTAAACATAAGTATAACTTTTCTATTGTTAGTAATATTTCAAGAGAGTGACAATGCAGTGGTCTGCTGTATTGTTACACTCTAAGACATTAAAAATATGTCTCAATGTACCATGTTAAAATGAAAATGTGTTAAAAGGTGTTTTACCTCTATTTTGAATTACAGTATGCGTTGCATTGTGTAGTGTTTGAGGATTGAAGGAAATGTTCAAGCTTCACAGAAAATGTACTGGTAATTTTCTTTTTGGCCTTGTAAGTATCAGCAACTGCACCAAATTTCATATTTGTTGCTCAGTTTGGGCCGCTGAATAAAACAGATTAGTTTTTTCTTAAGTATGAGCTCCATATTCTTCTATATCATACTATATGAGCCATAAAAGCCAATTGTAACAAATACGATACTCAACAAAAAGCGAATATGCACATTTAAAAAATATATTTTGTCTAAAGTTTCAATAAACTGTTCCTTTAAAACAAACAAATGATTTTCTGACTATTATTTAATATGACAGGCTTTACAGGGCTAAACATACTTTTGGCCAAAAATTTTAAAACACTGAAATGTCTGAATTTAATTGAGTTAAAATTACAAAAATCAAAGCAAGTGTCATTTATTTGAAAGAAATATATATAAATACTGTACATATTTAAAAAAAAAAAACATATTTCAAGTTAAACAGTTCACAAATAGATGTTTGAAATGATTCAACAAAAGATTTAATATTATTTGGAGTGATTTCTGGTAGTCAAATATTAGTAGAACATGTTAACATGAACTAGGAAAATGAAATGTCATTGCAAAAATGGCAGAAGTTGGTTTTAGAAATTTATTTATTTGCAGATGCCACTTTATTTGGTGTTTTTTGTCATCTAATGAAATGACACTATGTCCCAATACGTTCTGTGGGCACCCTGTATATATAGGCCTACTATGATTATAGGTTGCATATGCACACTTTGTTTTGAATAAATTATAATCATTTTGAAATCATTTCTTGTTTTGATAGGTATCTCCAAAGATAGTTTCTAAAGAAGGTAGAAATTGAACAGAGTCATTGGTTGCAGTATGTGCTCGAGTTCAGCTTTGGATAACTTCACCACCATTTTGTGCCATACAGATACAGAGCAACCTGAGAAGGAAATGAGGAGCATCATTATGCAATAGCTGTGGTAACATGGGGTCTGATTTCGACGTTGCCAGAATCCATTATAATAATTAGGTGACTAAATCTTATTATGTACCAAAATGTTGTAATGCAATAGACTGGTGTCAAAGAAACAAGTCTCAGGAAGGACATTAAACACTGGACAGAGATCAACATTTTTACTTCCTGATGCTCTCAAGAGAGTATTATTTGCTTTGTTTATCGAACAAAGCTTACCATAATTTAATTACACTGGACTTCCTGAACATTGCAGTTTTTTATGTCTTGTTTTGGGAAATGAGAGGAGTCAGTGTGATGTAGCGCTTGGTGTCGCACTTAATGTTGTTGCTATGTCCCTGCGTGACCTAGTTATTAAAGGGGTCATATGATGCTGCTAAAAAGAAATAGTGAGGTAGGTATGTGGGGGCGTGTTCGAACGAGCCGTTTTAGGTAGGTGTGGCTAACTCTTAACTTTTATAAAGAATATCTCTTTGGATTTGAGACTTTAGTCTTTGCAACTTTACAGATCTTCTTTATGCACCAAGAGCTTGTAACACTCTAAAGAGAAAGGAAAAAATGAAATCGCATCATATGACCCCTTTAAATTGAGCCATTCTTCTTTTCCTATAGTGCCAAAACGCATTGTTTTCCCTCAGTGTTTCCAAAAGTGCATTATTTCAATTAAAAAATGTTAATACAAATCGAGCAATGTGTTATTTTGAATCCTATTTGTGTCATTATTTTGATCTTGATCAGAGCCAACCCTGTGCAGTGCATCATATCACTCCGCCTGTCCCCAAAACCCCACGAACACACCAAATTAACATATATATATATATATCTGTTTTACGTCCCCAAAACAAATTTATAAAATGCGTCTTTGTATATCTTCAACATAACGCATATATTAATGCTTCCCACAGAATCAGGTTTTCAAATCGAATGTCTGCAATTGTTTAAATAGTGCGTCGGGCGTAGCGGCGGAAGGATACAGCGCGTTCTGTATAAATAGCCGGACCTTTTGTTTTGAGCAGTTAGATTCGCTCCCGTGACGAGAGGATAAAGACGCACGCATTCCGCACTCTTCCAGAAAAGAACATTTGTTAGTAAGTATGAAGTCAAATGTACACAAACGACGCCAGCTATATCGCTACTTAAAAACAACAGTATTTTATTTGACTTTAAGGGCTTGTGGAATTATATAAACGTGTAGTTTTTAATGGGCTAATGCGTTAGCTTTTATGCTAGCCGGCCTGGTCGTTTCTGAGGACTAAATTTGACCGTCTTTGTAATTTCATGTGGATGAATATTAAAATATTATGCATTGATGTGTTTTATGTATGTTTTGTGCTCGTTCGCGAATTTGGCGGCGAATTATACCGCTAAACAGCGCGGTGTGGTCGGTGAATCTCAATTCATCTGCGTATTTTCTTTCAGCAACATGTCAGCAATCGACACGTCCTTAAACATGTACCTGGTCGAAATATAACTCATTAATAGTTATTTATCTGTGGTTCTCAATGTTTTTGTTACGTTGTTGTTGTTTTCTGGCCATTTTCTGTGGTAAAAGTCGCCATTTTGTTTTCAGTCGCCCACTTTCGTTACGCCCTGCCTCTCAGCTGTGTCAGCAGTAGTGATGCTGTTTGCTCTCAAACCTTGTTTTGTTTTGCTTTCTTCTATGAAGAAATTTCTAGAGAATTCTTAGGCTTGTCTATCAATACTAAATGAACATGTTCTCTTTCTAGTTTTTTAGCAATGCAGCACATGTATTGACGTTAATTAGTTTGAATATCTTTTTCTAGCGTAAAGATGCAGATCTTTGTGAAGACGCTGACTGGCAAGACCATCACCCTCGAGGTTGAGCCCAGCGACACCATTGAGAATGTGAAAGCTAAAATCCAAGACAAGGAAGGCATCCCTCCTGATCAGCAGCGTCTGATCTTCGCTGGCAAGCAGTTGGAAGATGGACGCACGCTGTCTGATTACAACATCCAGAAGGAATCCACCCTCCATCTTGTCCTGCGTCTGAGAGGTGGTATGCAGATCTTCGTCAAGACCCTGACTGGCAAGACCATCACCCTCGAGGTTGAGCCCAGCGACACCATTGAGAACGTCAAAGCTAAAATCCAAGACAAGGAAGGCATTCCTCCTGACCAGCAGCGTCTGATCTTTGCCGGCAAGCAGCTGGAAGATGGACGCACTCTGTCTGACTACAACATCCAGAAGGAGTCCACCCTCCACCTGGTGCTCCGTCTGAGAGGTGGTATGCAGATCTTTGTGAAGACCTTGACTGGTAAAACCATCACTCTTGAGGTGGAACCAAGTGACACCATTGAGAACGTCAAGGCCAAGATCCAAGATAAGGAAGGCATTCCTCCTGACCAGCAGCGTTTGATCTTCGCCGGCAAACAGTTGGAAGATGGACGCACTCTGTCCGACTACAACATCCAGAAAGAGTCCACACTCCATCTTGTCCTGCGTCTGAGAGGTGGTATGCAGATCTTTGTCAAGACGCTAACTGGAAAAACAATCACTTTGGAAGTTGAGCCCAGTGACACCATTGAGAACGTGAAGGCCAAGATCCAAGATAAGGAAGGCATTCCTCCTGACCAGCAGCGTCTGATCTTCGCTGGCAAGCAGCTGGAGGATGGACGCACCCTGTCCGACTACAACATCCAGAAGGAGTCCACCCTCCATCTCGTCCTGCGTCTGAGAGGTGGTATGCAGATCTTTGTGAAGACCCTGACTGGCAAGACCATCACCCTTGAGGTTGAGCCCAGCGACACCATTGAGAACGTCAAAGCTAAAATCCAAGACAAGGAAGGCATTCCTCCTGACCAGCAGCGTCTGATCTTCGCTGGCAAGCAGCTGGAGGATGGACGCACGCTGTCTGATTACAACATCCAGAAGGAATCCACCCTCCACCTGGTGCTCCGTCTGAGAGGTGGTATGCAGATCTTTGTGAAGACCTTGACTGGCAAGACCATCACCCTTGAGGTTGAGCCCAGCGACACCATTGAGAACGTGAAGGCCAAGATCCAGGACAAGGAAGGCATTCCTCCTGATCAGCAGCGTCTGATCTTCGCTGGCAAGCAGCTGGAAGATGGACGCACGCTGTCCGACTACAACATCCAGAAGGAGTCCACCCTGCATCTCGTCCTGCGTCTTCGTGGGGGCAATTAATCCGCTCATGATGTTTACTATGTAGGTCTTGAAAGTGATCAGACCAATTCCAGTATCCTTTGTTCCCTCTTAATCCTTCAATAAAGTTCTGGCATTCCTGATTCTCTTGTTTTGTCATCTCTGAAATAATTCACAATTGTCACTTTAAAAAATTTTTACAATGTGGAGTTCAAATGTTTTTGTGTGTGTGTGTGTATATGTATGTATATATATATATATGGCGCTTGGCCTTGGTTTGAAAGTAAAATATGATCTAAACTTTAAAGTTGAATTTCTCATGCGCTTTCTAGTACAGTAGTCTACATTTGAAGTGGATCAAAACCTTTCATCAAAGTCTTGGGACAACTTTGAACTTTTTGATCCACTTCAAATGTTGACTACTGTAATTATCCAAGTATCTCATTTGCTAGAAGTTGCATTACATGATTCGTAATATTACACTGGAATAAAAGTTGCATAGAATTGGCAAGTAACACCTTTTAAGTTAGATTTTGGAGTTTAAAACGTTTTCAATCTTTACAACTTAAAACTAGTATTTCTGTGTTGGATTGCAGTTAATAAACAAGCCACTAGATGTCACCACAGGTTTGTGGAAAGCCAAGGGACCCCTTTTAATGCTCTTATTTTTGAAGTGGTTCTCGTGTCTGTGTTCTGGCTGTCTTGTAAACATTTCCTATCTGACCCTGGAGTCATGGTGCTTTAATGGGTAACGATTAAAAGCCGGTACCCTGACACTTAAAATTATTTTCTATTGCAGATTTCCTTTAAGTACTTTAGTAATCGGTTGCTGGAGGGCGACTGTTAATTAGTTTAACTACGTTGTACGTTTACCTGTTAGAGAAACTGAAAATTGCCTTTTTTACGTGAGCATTTTTTTTAGCTTGCAGTATATTGTTATGGGGTGGGGTATAGATATTTACTGGTCAAATTGTCTCAATTGAAAATAAGTATATCGCAACATCTGCTTTGTTTTGCTACTGTTCAGTCAGTTTCTTCTGGCATCAGATACTTTTCATTGATATTGACCAGCAGTACTAACTGGAGACGGTGCGTCTTGAGCAACCTTAAGTTGTGTATTGCTTAAAGATACAGATCAACCTTTGTGTTAGGAGACAACTGTCACCACTGAATTCCAGACGATCACATACAACGTCTCTCGCCTACTTTACTGCATTGTCACTTCTGATTCTGATATCAGTGCAAGAATCAGTCCAGCCGGGTCTAACGAAAATATTTATCTGGTCTTCTAAAAAAATATTGCTGTACTAAAAGATAAACAAGCCAAGGGCTAAAAAAAAAAAACCCATTAAGCTGTTGATGTTGGTCTGTTAAATGAGAAATATATGTTCAACATAATTAATGAAGGGGCGCTGTGAATAATTTTTGTAATGTTTAAAATGTGAGATCCATCTGATTTGAAATGAAATGATTTTAACCTGCTGTGCTGAGATTAATGGACCTTTTAATTAAAACATTTAAACGGACTTCGTCTATATCATAGTGTGACTGGAATTATATTGTTTCTAAATGTAACACGGTCAGCAGTTAATTTCATTTAGACAGTTTTCTGCTGTCACAGTGTCATGTGTTTTCAGAATGTCTTTCATGCATTTCACGCAGATACATTTCTATGCACCAGTAAATATCATTCATAATTTGTGGCTTATCATATTTGTCATGCCCTTAAAGGCCCAAAAAGTTTGAGCAAATGTGCTTGTTTCCTTCACTAGGTTTCCAATCTGGATTTGGAATAAAAAATCACATGCATAGCCTCTTTAAAAAGCTCTTTTGAATCCTCATATCATATAAGCAACTGAAACATGAAACTCCTTTCTAAAGTTCACTGTCTTATTGTTCCTATTGCTTTAGGTAACATTTTTATTAAGCAGTCTGATACTTTAATGTTTTAAAAAGCATAATAGGTCTTAAAAGGGTAAAGGGTGGTCCGTATCCTCGGCACATGTTTTACCCTCCCTCTTTTTAATATGTAGATCTCTGAGTACCACCAAAAAGATTAAAACAGGATACTTTTTGTGTTTAATTTCATGTTGAAATAGGATGTTTAAATGTATATTTGTATGTTTTTCACTCCAAAATCTGCGAAAAAATGTCAAACCATGGCAGATACTACATCAAAACTTTCCATTTCACAAAGAAAAATAGCTGTGTCACCGCAGGCTCTATATAAGCCTTTGTGTTACATTATGAGTTATCAGTGGCAAATATCAATAAAGATACAATAACACTTATCATGTTCTTCCAGCAGCTCTGTTTGATCATTTATCATGGCTCTTTAACATAATACGCCATGTTATTAATGGCAGTTTAACAGTACAGTACATAAACAGTGAAAAAATAGTATATGTATAAATAAAATGTTTTTTTGCAAACTTTTACCTCAGAACTTCTATTTTATTTTGGACATCAAACTTATTCATATAAAAGAAAATATTATTAAAATCTAATTACTTATTCAAATGACAGGACAATGAATAGGACAATGTTCTAAATGCTTAAAGAACAGAAGAATGAATTTCAGATTTATTACAATTTTTAATACAGTTTGATTCCATGCACAGAATTTGACATGAAAAAAAACGTGCGCATGTGAGGCCTTTTCATTTCCCTTTTAGTTGATAAATCTGTTCATTGAGTTATTCTAATTATTCACAAATATATGCTTAGTTGCGTCTAATTATTTGCATTTAGTATTTTTTTTCCCCTGCTGTTTGCTATGCCATCAGAAAAGACATTTTTGGTTTTTCTCAAATCTAAAATCTATAATCTATTAGTAGTCCAAATACGTTTTGGGGCCACTGTATGTACGTATTGTAAACTTTGCTTTTAAATTGTGCCAAACAAAATAAAGTGACTTCATAGATTAGATTTTCTAAATAGTTTCTTATCCTTTATGGTGGGAGGCGTGTGTAACTACATTACCCAGAAGTCTCTGGCGCTTTGGGCATCGTAAACATGGTAATCAAACAGCAAGAGCGCTATAAAACCTGCAGGATTAGAGAGCCGGACTTTAATATCACTCATCAGCTGTACTGTACATGATCATAAAGTCAGCAGAGCATTAATAACTCAATGGCCAGAGTTTTATGGCTTTATCTTGTATAAGTGATAGTTTGTTCAGCCGTCACGCTTTGAGTTCCCTGCGCTTTCCAGAGGAAATCACTTTATTGTTCTCAAAGCTCCGCGTTTGTTTGTGAAGTGAACTGTGTGAAAATAAGGATGGCGGTGTCTAAGTCTACATTATCAATCGTTTTTATAGTTCTGGGAGGTTTGGCGGTTTTATTCGGGACTGTGCTGGTGTTTGTCGGACCTATTATAATAGACGATCAAATAGTGAAGGTAAGTCATACATCTGACAGGTGCACAAAACGCTCTAATTAACCATATTTGCATTTTAAAATAACATAAAGTTGCAAAAACACGTGCGTTAGTGTCGACCAGCCTTGAACTGAGCTCGATATGACTTTCTGTAGTTGTGTTGTGCATTTAAAAAAACATAAATAGGAACGACCATTAAGTTATCTAACTTAATGACTAAGTTAGCCTATATTAATAATAGATAATAATAAAAGCCTACATAAAATAGTTTAAATAGTTGTGGTAGTCGTAGATTGTCAAATGTGTGCGTAATCAACCACACCGATAATGACACCTTTGTTTCATTCTTTCACTGTCAGTTTTGTTTTATTTTTAATTTATGTATTGTTTTAAATTTCAGAATTAGGCATTGTTTTCTAAATGCTATGTAGTCTTGTATTTTACCTTGGTGCCACTTGCAACTCTTACCGATTTTACGACATGTATCACAGTTTCTACAAAAATATTAAGATCTGTTTTCACCAGAGATCATAATAATAAATGTTTCTGAACAGCAAATCAGCATATTAGAATGATTTCTGAAGGATCATGTGACACTGAAGATTAGAGTAATGATGCTGAAAATTCAGCTTTGCATCACAGGAATAAATTACATTTTAAAATATATTAACATTGAAAACGGTTCTTTTAAGTTCTAATAATATATCACAATATTACTGCTTTTACTGTAACTTGATCAAATAAATGCAACCTTGGTGAGCATTTCAAAAACATTTGAACTGAGATCTAAATTCAAGGGACTTTTTATCACTTTTTATTTTTTTTGTGGTGTCATACTTTTTAAAAAATACAAATATTCAATGTTGTCTCTCAAAAAGCCATGAATCTGCATTTAATAATGAAATCTAAAGATGAAGTTTTAAGTTAAGCTATTTTAAATACATAATTTCACACTTTGGCCACTAACCATCTTCACATCATATCTTCACAGAATGTAGAGATTAACCCGAGCAACGGACTCTCCTACACTATGTGGAAGGACATCCCAGTTCCCTTCTTTATGTCTGTATATTTCTTTCATATTGTCAATCCTAATGAAATCTTAAACGGAGAAAAGCCCACGGTGGTACAGAGGGGGCCGTATGTGTACCGGTAAGAATTGTGTTCCCTTTTTTTTTTTGTAAAACTACTTTAAACCAGACAGAATGTATTTTGAAAAATTCAGTGCAAATCACTTGATCTTGTCTGGATATATAATGTTTGTGGATGTTCAGACCTGTAAGTTAAAGGCCTGTGACACTGAAGTTCATGGTAGGTTAGCCTGCATGCCCCTGGGCAGGTTTGCATGTGCATACGGTCAGTATTCCAGGCAGGACCACCATAAAGTCTGTTTTCTTCCCTTTAGGATATAAAGTGTCCATCCTGGAGTGATTTGTAAAGAAATAACTTTGCACAATAAAACTGGGTTTGTTTGCACTGGTCAGTATGAATCTAAAAGCATTCCTCTTGTCCATATAACCTGCCCTAACATGATGTAATATCTCTTTCTTGGACTCATGTGACCTTTAGCACAAAGAGGTTTGTCTGCAGTAGATGTTAGATCTGGATCTGGGTCTGTCTGGTGGCCTTAATCTTACCCGAAGGACTGAAAAAATAATATGTATAAAAACTGCATATAAAATAGATACAAAATATATTCCTTGACAAAGATCAAGGAATAGACTAATTCAATATTATTAAATTTTTTTGAACAAGGATATGCATT